GACAAATGCACCAGGTTTTCCATCAGAAGTATTAAATATGGGTGTACTAAGGCTATCAGGTAGTATACTCAGATAATTCTCAGTTGACAAACCAGGACAAATTTTAAACTTTTCAAGAGATTTCATTAGCAAATGCAACTGTTTTCTTTCGTGAACTATTGGTGGTAAAATATCAGGGTCAATATGCATAGTTCTTGGTTTCCCCATATGAAAGAATTGATAACTGCCATTTGCATTTATAACTACTTCATAATCAATCTTAACTGGACTCTTTCCATGATAATACAAATGTACATTTGCCTGTGGAACATTTGGGATAACTTTCCATTTGGGAAACTTACTTGCAGTATTCACCATACCCTTACTAACCCTGTATGCAAGAGTTTTTGATTATTTACTCTCTTGTAAGCATGCCAAACATTCATTCTCAATTGCCATTTTTAATTCATCACAGTTCAGGATGTCACACATCTCTGAATCAACGAGTTTAAGAAGAAAGGACTGTTGTTTGGTCACAATTTTTTGGATACTGTTCAAATAAAACTTCCATCTCAAATGACCATCAAACTTTCCAAGGCCTTTTGACAAGTTGTTGATTGACCGGTAGAAATAGTTTTGTATACCTTTGCAATCAAACCGGACACCATACACAATATAGACAGCTCTTGACAAGTAATAATATTGTTTTGGTTGGACAGGGAAATGACTTTTTGAAGGGAACACAACATCTGTCAGGCAATAGAGAAGAAGTTCCTCAGGCTGTAAAGGAATTTTTCCATTATATTGAAGGGAAGTTGGTTCAGCTTCTGCGAAAATACTGTCAAAATCATTCACAGGTTGAAGTCTTTCGTTGTCATTCATAGTTGAACTATTTTCATCAATATTTATAGTTGTTGTCGAAAAATGTAAACAATTAGTTGTTTCCTTGAACCTCTTAGTAGAAGTAGACGGACTTCCTGAATCCCTTGCTCGTCGTTTATCACACATTTTGTTTAGAAAATAACTTCATGTAAGAAATTTCAAATATTTAAAAATTATTTCAATTTCAAATATTTTATAATATGACAAATCCTTCGTCATTTTGCGATTTTGCACACGCTATCGTTGCCATGACACTTTGACAAACTATGTTCGATTCATGTTCGACGATCTTCGATTTTGTGACTGTCC